AAAAAAAAAAAAATCACAGCTGCCTGAGGAAGACTCTGGCTCACAGATCAGTGGATACTAGAAGGGTATTCAGGCCTGTTATTATGCTCTTTTGGACTGCTACTGTTGACTGCTCTAAGAGACATGATGCTAGGACAGATAGTCTGATAACAGCATTACCAATCTTATTTTGAGTCAGTAAACTCACTTCAGGTGCATCTTACAGAGAACAGGCTACATGAATTTAAGTCTTCATGAGCACCTCCTGCTATTCCTTTTAAAGGAAACAGCCTCATCATAACAAACATTCATGCTTTAATGAAAATGATTAATTTACTTTAAAATCCATTTGGGCTACTAAAATTCTGCACTACCACAAAATATAAGCAAAACAAGCTATGAAACAAACTCTGTGATGACGCTATGGAATCTCTTCAAATGGCAGCTTTTAGTAATTTTTTGACCTACTTACATGAGCCAAGTAAGTTTCTCTTCATTTAGTTACAGGAGAATTTTGCTTCACTTTTCGCATCATACTCTGCTATGTCACACAGTGAAATCAGAGTGGGTTTGAATGACTTGACTGTAACACACTTGCTTTGAACAGGTACTTCTATGACTCCTAATACTTGTGAAATTTAATTGCTTCTGGTATGGAAGAGGCAGAATCCCTAGAAGAAAATGGAAGTGCATACACACACATGGGTTTGAGCAGTGAGGCAAAATGAATGTAATTTTCTATTCAAAGCAAAATTATTGTGCAGAATATGTCCATTTAGGTAAATATCAAAGATATCATCCAAAATGTTGAAAGTCATTAATAAACCCAAAGTTTTGTATATAATATAGTGTCTGAATACCAGTATATAGTATCTGAAGGGGTCTAAAAGCAAGGCATTTTAGAAGCTCTGAAAAGTTGAACATGTTTTCTTCAAAGATTGATTATATATATATCTGTTTATATGTGTAATTAAATGTCTTTTTAACTTCAAGTAAAGATGTAGGTAGTTTTGCTTTTTCATTGCATCTGTGAATATAATCTGCTTTTTTACAGTTCTTTTTGTGCTATAGGTAACACTATGTATTTCGTACAGAGAACAAAAGATACTTCAATGGCTATTTACTTGCATTTGAAAAAAAGTCTTACTCTGACCGACGTTTATATTATTGGAGATGAGTGATGGGAAGAGGAATTTTATTCACAAAAATGACTAAAATTTGTTTTTACAAAATAATGAATCATGCAAAAACCATTACACAGCAGTCTCAAGCCTTTCTTCAACAGGATCTGGAATGTGAACGTGCGTCCAGTAGAGAATAAAAGCCCATGAAAATTCTAATCAAACTGAATCAAACTTTGCATGTTGCAAAGTTCATGCCTGCCAAATTATAAAATATTTATAAAACAATTATAAAATATTATCATACTAATTCAGAAAATTTCTAAGAAATCAGTCAGGTAAGTAGCTTGAGTTCTGAGTTTCTCAATTAACCTTTTCTAACTTTTCTCTTTATTAGAATTAATTATAGCATAAATCTTTCTACTACATTAGCACACAGAAAAATGTCATGCGAGATATTTTTCTCCATCCAGGCTGCCTGCAATAGTAGAACCTAGTCTTAAGCTTTCCAAACAATGTAGATGTTCACTCTACAATAACCATAAATAAAAATTAAAAAGGAAAAACAGTCATTGTAAGAGAAGAGAAATATCCAAGAAAGACAGTCCCAAGATTCCACCAGTGAAATGGAAATAAAATGTGTTGCTGGTATATATTGTTTTAGAGTATGTAAAATGTCCCTGAAGAAACTGCCATTCTCTGCCATCTTCCTCTGTTGGAAAAGTCACCTGCAACATTCAACTGCAAAATGCAGTCAGATTTAAAACGCCTTAATATTGTAAACTCGGGCAGGCAGACACCACTTACTACTAGGTGTCTTCAAAATTGATTACATAACACCTTTAATGAGAAGTAGGAAAAGTGTGCCAGGTAGCTTTTTCTAAAATAAAAACAAACCTTCTCTCACCCCAAAACTGACAGCTTCCATCTTTCCCAGCCCTGAGATAAGATGGATATTGCTGATCCAGAAAGAGGCAATTTCCCAATTAAAATTTTTTAGTTAGTGCAGAAAGGGAAGGTACCTATGGAAGGCAAAAGCCTTTCTTCCCCCGACTTTCCCAGAACTCTAGTTAACTAGTTACCGGATTACTTTTCAGAACAATATGAAGGGCAGCCAACACAGAGGGAGTAAGCTGTGGTCTTATTCTTCCACCCAAGATCCAAACTGCCAAACTGCGTATAGCAAATGGGGAAGGGAAGGAGAAAACTTGATAGGATGAGGAGCAAAAGCTTAAGCTTCGTCTTGATGAAAATCAGTCTAAGAATGCTGCTTAAATACAGATGTGTAAGCTTTTATCCCCCTTTGAAGTCATAGCTATGAAAAAGGCAACTAACATTCATGAGTTCTTCTGAAATCTTCCCTTCTAGTTTCTAAAAAAAAATACCAACAAAAAACCCCCACACAAAGATGTTCAGCCTAAGACTGGATCTTCCAAGTAACTAAGAGAGACTATGACTTCAGATTTTAAAACAGCACTTCTAAAATCATCATCTTCCATAAAATAAGAGCTGCTAGATGGGCACCCTTTCTTTATATGCTAAGTCTCAAAAGATACCAAAAAACTTCCTATTTCCATGAACACTACAGCAGGCACCTGTGAACTCAGCTGATCCGCACAAAATAACCCAAGGATTTTATCAGATCAAAAGCTGAACCTATGCCAAAAAATATTGAATACACTGCATAAAAAGGGAAGGTTTATGTAACGTGTGAATTATTCCCACTCAAAGCACAAATAAGGCCTCCTTTAATACTGTGTGATGTTTTAGCACTATCCTTCCAGATACACCAATTAAAAGCTAAAGAAAAACATACAGAAAGCATGACTGGTGAAAAAACTGGGCAGCGTGTCATGGCTAGACAGAAGATTAAAGAGTGACTTTGTTACAGTTACCAGATACATGGAAATGCATACAAGGCTGTAAAAAAGAGAATAATGAACTGTTCAACAGATCTATGAGCTTTATGACAAAATGTGGTAGTCCTGAAGAGCAACCAGTGTGACTTAGACTGGTGTCTGGGAAATCATTTCCAGCCTTACCACATCACTGGACTTTTTAGGCAATATAACTAAACATTTATTAAGAATGGATGAAGTACGGGTTATCCCGCCCTGTATCAGGAGGATCAACAAGATGGCCTTCCTTTCAACTCCTATCAAATCATGTGAAATGTAAACCACAAGCAAGAGCAGAAGATATTAAATAATTTCATTCTACTATATTCCAAAAGCTGAGATGCATCTGCATTAAATAGGAGGATGTATACGTATGTATTCTGCCATGGTGTAACAGATATACACATTTTTAAACTATTGCCAACACAAAGCAGTACAGCAACTTGATTTATTATATGCAGATCCTTCTGCATTGTTGCTAAACAGTACACTGGTCCAAAGTTACTAAAATACTTAAAAAACTATACATTATGTAAACAAAACATAAATAAGACAGCATAGTTCTTTGTACACATAGTTTAGTACAGATTGTTAGGAATTAATGAGTATGTACAATTCTACACCATAGACTGCATTTTTACAATGCATAAATATTTTTTTTTACAGAAACAAATCAAAAATAAGTTTGACAAATAAAAAGGAGATACATACTGTCATAAACACACTGGCAAACAGTCCATACTGTAAGATGGAACATGTGCAAAAGGCTAGATTTCTCCAAACTAAAATGTTTAACGAACTCATTGGTCATTTCTGACCTTTTCACTACAGAACTCTGAAAACTTCTGGCAAACTAAATAAATTTTTCTTCCTCCTAAGCCCCACCGGTAAACAGGAAAGAATTGTAATCTGAAGTAATTTTGAGTAAATCAACTGTTTCAAACAATGTAAGAAATTATTCAAAAGTTACAACTTCCAGAGTCAGAAGAATGCCCCAAAATTCCAAAGTGGCTCATTTGCGGTAAATTCAGGATGCAGCTTTGTCAGGTTTATCAAGGCAAGATGACTGAGATGCAGGGAAGACAGCAGTAGGATTTCTGCTTGTGGACACAACAGGAGGCAGTGATGAAGACAGGCAAGAAACTTTTGATGCTGGAGTATTTATAGCATTCAGAATGGCTCCCTCTGGACTGACCAACAGTTTTTTGATAGAAGTGTCTAAGTGAAACACTGAAGTGTTGCTTGGTAAATGAGAGTTTGGAGGATGAACGGCAGAAACCACAGAAGATGTAGCTACAATATTAACAGGAGATTTTATCACTGAAGACACAGACAATGTTGCTGCAGACAGTGGAGTATGTGAGCTAGCTGGAGTAGTAAATATCTGGGGTGTTGCATGTACAATGGGTAAAGCATCTGCAGACCCAAAAGAGTTCACAATTTTTGTAGAGGTTTTCAAAGGATGTTTTGATATTTGCCAACTTAATGAATTACTTGGTGCTAGCATGATTTTTGATGTTATTGGATTAACAATTGGTACACCTTGAGCCTCTTGACCATGGTTAATAGTTAGAGGAGGAGTCTGTTTTGTATTACAAGAGAGAAGAAGAACATGGCTGCCAGCTCCAAGGCCTTGTGGTGGAACAACAAAACGAGTACCATTAATAATTATCTGAGTTCCAGGTGCCAAAGGCATACAGGTGTTAATGACTATTTTCTGTTGAACACAAGGTTCATTCAACTGATCTCCTACCTTGCTTCTTACAGCTGGGGAAGCTGCAGACATCTGAACAGTAGAAGCACAAGTGTAAGCATGACTTTGTTTCTCTGTACTGGGAGGCACCTGCTGGCATTGTAGGGAAGAAAAACTGGGAAAACTAACGACTTTACCTGTATTTGGTGATGGGGGGGGCAACACACTCTGAGGTTTGTGAATACCTGCATTACTTGGCATTGCAGCTGAAACTCCTGATGATTGAAGCTGAAGCAGTGTGGGCAACTGGCTTTTTGATACTGGAGGAGCTGGAACTGCTGCCAACTGAGGAACTGTATGCAACACTTTGTGGGGGGTGGCTACAGACCCAGGCAAGCTAATGACTGGAAATTGCAAAGCAGGTGCTAAGTTTTGAGGAGATACTGTTGGTTTTGTTGAAATCAGCACAGATGAAGCAAGATGTCCTGTCTTCACAGTTGATATACCCACAGTATTTCCAATATTTGATGTACACAGTCGATTACCCAGAATTGGCCTTATTCTTGAGGGATCATTTCCACCAATCAAGACAGTGGGCCGTGCCCCAGAAGAAGTCGCACTTGGTGTTACTGAAACAGATTCTACGTGTGCATTTGCTGTTGTTACTGTAAAGGCATTTTCAGCTTTTGTTGCAATGCATACAGATTCATTAACTGACACAGCACTTTGACTCACAAAACTTGGAACAGGAACCAAAGTACTACTACTTGTCAAAGACAGCGCCAAGCCCATGCTCTTTTTGTCTTCTTCCTTAGAAATGGCAGAGTGCAATATATTAACTGGTTGAGTCTGTTGTGCATTGCCTTTAGTATTTACAATGGTTTGACCTATATTTAGTCCAATTTTCACATCTTTTACTTGAGCAATAGTTGGCGATGAATTTATTCTTATTGGTGCTCCTACTGTAGATGGGATCAGAACCATCTGTGGTTGCTCTGTGGCACTAACAAAGGTTTTGCTTAGGGAAGAAGGAAGGTTATGTTTCAAGGACTCTGCAACTAGATTGGTGGTTGATGGGCCATTGGCAATTTGTGTGTTAATGAAAACCAACTTCTGAGCATTAACACCAGTAGATGCTAGAGAGGGTATAATACTGACTCCTGATGCCCCACAGGGTGATAAAATTGGATTTGTGACTAATGTAAGTTTCTGGACTGGACTACCACTGATTAAATCTCCATTTGTTGCTGAATTAGACTCAGATTGTGTAACAGGATTTGTTTTAGCTTTAGTATCACCTTGTTGCTGCACAGAAGAATTTGGAGTTATGACAGTGTTATTTTGTCCAATGCTAGTCACACTAACAGGACTGTTTGGAGTTGCTGACATCAAATTGCTAGCCAATGAAATGGAGGATAAAGAAGGAGAGGACACATAGCAGGAGTTCTCTATTCCTTGACCCAAAGTGCCCCCAACAGCAGGATGCTGTAATGTGAATTTGATATTCTGCTCCATTGTCTGGGTAAAATCAGCTGGGAAAGCTGGAATGTTAACAGAAGAAGCTGTTGAGGGGGCAAATCCAGAACGAGATGATTGTCCAATATGTGGGAGACCAGACATGGCTGTTGCTACAGATGGAAGAGCAGAGCATGATAATGCTGTGGTTTTTGGCATAAGAAAGGCCTGAAGTTGAGGTGCGTAAGTGAAAACTGAACTAGAAGAGAAACTACTCGGTGAAATCTGGTCTGGGTTTGTTCGCACTTGAACAATTCCTGTGTTTCCACCACGTGTTGTGACCAGAATAGATTGTGATTCTCTTATACACACTGTCTTCAGCTCTTGCCTACTTTCAGAAGAGTCAGTTGTCTGCTGTAATGCAAGACTACGACAGGCAGAAGCAGTGCTTATAGATCCACTTAATGCTGTTGCTGATATCAAAGACTGGCTAGCTGTGGAAACAGCAGGTGAAGTCAAAGACACAGGGAATGCAGTTGAAACTGTAGTCTTGATTTTGTCAGTTTCAGTTTGGCTCATTGTTGATGATAATAAGTTACCTGCTGAAGTTACAGCAGGCAATGGTTGCGTAGTGTTTGTGGGACCAGTCACTTGTGACAAGTGGGTAATATTCTTGTTGAAAATTGTACTAGGTGACTGAGTGGTGGCATTTGCAGGGCCTGTTACCAGAACAGGTGTTAAAGACACACTGACATTTGATATTTCTCGTAAAGTTGTACAGTGCAGCTCAGATGATTGTTGTTGTAGTGACTGAATATCCTTGGACACAATTTTTCCTTCCTTCTGCTGAACAAGAAAATTCTTAGGTAAAATAAGAACTTGTTGCATGACTTTTTCTCCAGTTTTAGGGTCAATCACAGGTTGCATTTGAATTTTCACAGAGCTGTTGTGAATATCTATTGGTACACAGTGGCCATTTGGCATTTTGTATACCATTTGTAAAGGAGTCTTTGAACTGGTCTGGCAGGGCAATGCTGGTTTTGTGAGTGATGATTCCAAAGGTGATAAAACTGTCTTTTCAGAAGTAGATATATTTATGCCTGGGGGAGGTGACACTTGATTTGTTAAGGTCACTTTGTTCCCAGTATTCTTGGCAAGCAAGGCCTGGATAGGTTTGGTCCCTTTCAGAAAGTTTGATACTGATATTGCAGGTTCTGTCAAAGAAAACGATTCTAGAGTTGACCCTTCAAATTGTTTCAGCTCAGTCAAACAACTATCCGGCTGCAGGCTACTTTCTGAACTCTGGGCCACAGCCTCATTAGTGCTCAGCTTAGCTTTCTTCCTTGGAGAAAGCTCATTAGTGCTTTGATCCAGACAACTATTTTGCTTGGACTGTCGTTTAACACATTTGGGCAGTGTCTTCTGTATTTCTTTAGAAGTTGATTCTTTTTTCAGATTCCTGCTGATAAATTCATCTCTAATAGTTTCATTTCACCTGCAAGGATATTAAAACAGAAACTATGTTTTACATGTTTGCAACTGATACCTCTATATAACAATTTTACAGTGTCTAGTTGAAGGCAAAATGCTAGTTTGCAAGTGTAAAGATATGTAGAAGGAGAATGTCTGCTTCTTTAAGGGCATCTGGTCAAGGACCTTTTTAAATGGAAAAAGGGGGTAATAAGGAAAGGATGAAGTCATAAGCAAGAACATACAGGGACACAAACCTGACCAGCATGAGAGACAGTGAGGAAAACCAAACCTGGTCATTCACACTAATTGATGAAGGCATGTGAGAGTGTAAGCATGTTTATTCCAGCAAGGTTATCTCATTAAGGACCCGGGTAATTGGGAAACTGAAGGAAAAAGGAAGAAGCAAAAAAAAAAAAAAACCACAGACACAGATCTAACAAAACATACATGGAGATGACAAGAAGCAACCTTACCAATCACACCAATTGATGGGCTATCAAGAAACTGCAGGTGCCCCTTCCAGGAAGATCAACCTGGACTTTGCAACTGATATGATTGTAAACCAGGGGAGATCCTGGACACTGGGCTGGGAGGTGTGAGGGGATCCGTAGCTATACAAACCCATGAAGGGATGTGCAGAGGAAGGGGAAGCTGCAAGGACAGAGCAGGAGGCCACAGCCTGTGTGCCTGGTGCTGGCTGCTGGAGGATCAGTGTCTGTATCTTTTCCAAATCTAGTGTGCATGGGGGCAGTGTGTGTGTTTTCACTGGCAAACTTCAAGCCAGACTAGCCTGGGATCTGGGCTGGCGTATCAGGTGGACTTGGGGGTGTGAGATGCCTGGGGACAAGGGTGTGAGTGCCACGTTTCATACTGAGCATCGAGCTGGACCAGCCGGCGAGCAGGGGACACATGAAGTGCATAGGAGGGCCCAGGATGCAGGCAGGGGTGCTGGGTGGACAGAGGGGCCATGCATTGAGGTTTTGGCAAGGTTTTGGCAGTGCGGGGCTGCAGGGGGGCCTCTGTGAGGAGATGCCAGGAGCTGCTCTGTGCCAGACACAGCTGGCACCAAAACAAATCCACTGCAGGACATGGCTGAGCCTGTCAGCCAAGCTGGTGATGCCTCATGGAAAATGCTGCACAAAGAGTGTCACAGAGAGGAGTGAGGAAAAAAAAGGAGGAGAAACAATGCTGTAGACACCAAGGCCAGTGAAGAAGGAGGGGAAAGAGGTGCTCCAGGCACTGGAATGGATTCCCCTGCAACCTGTGAAGACCATAGTGAAGCTGGTTGACCTCCTCTTATGGAGGACCATGCTGGAGCAGGTATCTACACTGCAGCCTGTTGAGGATCCCATTCCACAGCAGGTGAATATGCCCTAAAGGAAGCTGCACCCCATGGAGAGCCCATACTGGAGCAGGCTCCTGACAAGAACTGTGGCTTATGGGGGACCCACACTGGAGCAGTCTTACCCTGAAGGACTTTAGCCTGTGGAGAGGACCTATGCTGGAGCAGTTCGTGAAGGACTGTATCCCATGGGAGGGACCCCACACTGGGGCAGGGCAAAAGTGTGAGGAAGGTGCAGCAGAGACTAAGTGTTATGAACTGACCTCAACCCCCAATCCCCATCCACCCTGTGCCACTTGACAGGGGAGGAAGTAGAAGAATTGGGAATGAAGTTGAGCCTGGGAAGAAGGTGGAGATGGCGCGGAAGGGGAAGGTGTTTTACTTTTTGTCTTTGTTTCTCACCATCCTACTCTATTTTTAATTGGCAATAAATCACATTAGTTTTCCCCAAGTGAGTCTGTTTTGCCTGTGACAGTAGCCGGTGAGTGGTCTCCCTGTCTGTATCTTGACCCATGAGCTTTCCCATCTTATTTTTTCTCCCTGTCCTGTTAAGGAAAAGGAGTGACAGAGTGGCTGGGTGGGCATCTGGCAGCCACCCAAGGTCAACCCACCATAAACGTAAATTCCGAGCAGGCCTACTATGTTATCACAGAAATAGTTAAGCACAAAAATGGCAAAAACTTGCATTAACCAGAATTTTCATCTTGGTCATGTTTGCTCTCTTCTAGTCTACATCTGTCAGACATGCACCACAAGCTATTTCAGTATTATCACAGTAGTAGTTAAGGTAAAAAGTAGGACACAAGCTCACATTAAGCTCCTGAATCAACTTGATTCAGCTCCTGAATCAAGTTCAAGCTATCAAATTCCAGTAAATGCTTACCATTGTCTGGGTAATCCTTTTTGGGAACTTCCACATGTTCTGCAGACTCTGAAGATTTACTGCATACTACTGCAAAAGAATCTTTGCCAGAATCAACTTCACTTTCATCATTACTCCACAATTCTCTGGTAAATTTATCATGGTCTGGATGTCTTTTAAAGTCATCATAGTCCTTCTTCAATCTAGTCCTTGAAAATAACAAAACTAACTTTACTAAAGAAACACACTGTTTTAACATTTTTTAAATTTGTATTTGCTGCCACACAAAAAGTTGGTGTAGAATTAATTGCCTGTGCCCTTAAAAAAATTTCAGGGTAGCTCTGTCTGCAAGTCTCTAAAACCCAGAAAATGTGAAGTGACAGTAATGTCCCTTCCTGCACCAAAACTGAATTCTATGTCAGTAAGTCCTCTATCAATAGGCAAAAAGACTGAGTCAAATATGACCACCACTGTTTTACTGCATCCATATTCTGTTTCTTCCTTCGTCTTGCATTGTGACAAATGTACCTGTATGGACTTGAGTATTAACTGTAACAAGCCTATTCTCTCCTTTGAAAGCAACCCCAACTAGAGAATTAAGTAAATCTTGTTTTTCTTAAATGCATCATGCTTCTGGCCCAGCTATGGGACTGTAATGTAACTTTTTCCTTTAAGAAAACTTTCTTATCTCTGGGCCATTAGAACAGCTGCCACTGTCATTTCCATAGGCTCACACTCCACTAAAGAATGTGCATATGATGGAAACACACAGCTGCTTTACTCATTTACTCATTCAGAAACACATCCACTTATAACCGCTACATATTTCCATTGTCCCTTCTTCTAAACGATTGTTTAGATGGGATCTAGAGAGTATTTTAGTGTACAAATACAGTGAACTACAGGATTCAGCTGATGGTAACCAACACAATATCCAGGAGGATTATTTAGCAAAGGAATAAATAGATTATAGCAACTAGCACCTTGTGTAGAATAGAATCTAGACTCTAGTCTGGCTCTAACCCTTATGAGAGTAAGAGTAAGATCTTAAATTCACCCATTCTTATGTGTTAAACTACAGCTGTTTGCATTGAGTGCAGCAATGGCCAGCTGCTCCCTAAGGGATGGAGAGGGAGGAGCCAAGCATGATGTCACAGCTAGGAAGGCATGAGCCTCACCAGCCAGGATGCCATCCCACCGCCTCTGAACGAGGGAGCAGGCGTAGGGGTGCTACCTAAGTTCAACCAAGAGCCCAGATCAACAGGCAAGTTCCTGGTGCTGAGGCAGGTCTGAAGTCAAGCTGGGAAGTCAATTCACAGGTTTTCAGATCAGGGTCAGGTCCAGTGATGGCTGCCAGTGTCAGGACCCAGTTGAGTGATTTCCAGGCAGGTCCACAGTGATGATGCAGGTCCAAGGTCAGTCCGAGGGTCAGTCCAGATCAGCAGGACCCATGGCCAGGCAGGGTAACTGCTGCAGTTGAACTGGAAACTGGCATTCCTACGGCAGAGATTGAAGGCTGCAGAATGACCTGAAACTGGGGTCCTGGGCCCATGGGCAGGTGATATGGATGGAGGCCCAGGAAAGGCTGGTCAGGGTCAGTAAGACCTAATAGTTTACTCACAGCTTTGACACTCTCACTGAGAGAAGACAACCTTGAAGGCTGTAGGAAGACATAGCGTGGACGATACTTTGACTCTGTCATTAGGATTTTGAGCTTGAAGGTACGGAAGAACTACAGAAGGACACGAGGGAACCACTACTGTAATAAAGCTTCTGGATGGGAATTTCCTTTTTTCTTTTGAGGAACTTCTGCTGTGGGGCCAGTGAACAAATGATCAGTGGGCACAAGTAACCTTTCCTTTTAAACCTTGCTGCTATTCAAATATCATTCAACATTATACTCTGTCATAATTTTGAAAAGACCAGAGGACCTTTCAGAAGGGGAAGAAAAAGGATTTTGATCACAAAGAGTGCTCCTACTAATTAAAGACAACAAAAAAGGAAGGAAGGAAAACTCCAGGCTCTTTTTCCATACCAAGATCTTGCACAAAAGGAATGAGCTCTGCCCAGCCCTTGACAACCTAGAAGGCCAACACTGTTATTCAATTAGTAGATGTTAGTAGTTGGCTGAGACACCCTATAGACACTGCAACTGCAGCTAGACTTGTGGTGGTGCTGCTGTTTACACCAGCATAAGCAATCTTTACTCAGTTGCTTTTTCCCTTTCACATGACACCTTTCTTCACCACTGTCATTGGTGCTACAGCTACCTAGCTACCAGACCAAGACATTGATCTAGCCTCCCCCCACCCATCTCTCTTTCTTCCCCATGATTTGTAAAGATTGTTTTTCAGCTAGAGCTGTTCCCTGGTATACTATGTGCCTGTCCAAACAGTTATGTCATGGAAATACCTAGGCTAGCATTGCTGAATAAACTAGGGTTACAGCCTAAAACATACATCCTGAGAAATACAAGTTAAGTTAATCTCAGAAATTATCCTTCTCTCTCAGTGCATGCTTCTCTAGCTACCAGCACACACACGTGCAAAACCTCGGCCACTCAGTTCCAGACTAAAATTTACTCATATTAGGCACACCTCAAATATAGTATTTTACACACTTTACACAACAGTTCTACTTGTGTATTCAAACAAGAACTAATACTAGGCACCAAACCACTCCACAGAAGAATTTACATAAAGGATAAAACTGGGAACTCCATATACTGGAAACTGAAATCCCTTCTAGTAGTATTACTGTCTGCCACATTTCCAAAAGGAGTCTGAATTGCTACAGACTTGAAGAAATGAACAGCTAAGGAAAATTAACAGAAAGTTGAATAGAAAGGAAGAGAAAAAAGAAAAACTTGTACTTTGGTCCATTATTTAAAGCAAAATATTCAACAACATCCTAAATTTCCAAATAAGGATTTTAATTCATGCATGATATCCATAAAATGAGCTACGAAGGAACCAACTCTCAGTAGTTATATCTGTTTACTGTCTTTGGTGCTAAGGTGTTGGCTTTTTTTAAACATAATACCTTTTACACTTTTCAGAATTAGTTCTGCACCACATACTGTGTAAGTTGCTTCCTTCACACTCAATATTTAAGCAGCTGCCTAACTTTACCTATCATTTGACACAGAGTTCAAGCTTCTAATCGTTAATTGCTTTTTAAAAGTCTGTGTGGCAAAACTAAGGTATGATTATAGCAACAGCTGTATGGCTAACAGACAACAATGTCACCAAGCTTCAAGACACAATGAAGATACCAAGTCAATACCCAGTCTCTCCAGGATTTATAATCTGGGTAGCACCTTCACTGCTACTAATTCTTACCCTTACTAGATTTAAATCAGACACCACTTCACTGATATTTCTCTGACACACCGCATTCCAGATGCATTTCAAATTTACAGGGTTACAAAGACCTCAAAACAATGTTTTAAAAATTGCTTGGTGGAGAATTCATTAACAACCAATTTAGGTAGCTTTAGACAGTAATTAGTCTGACAAAGTGTTCTGGTCTAGTTTTCCAGATACAGGTTTTCAGCACCTCTTAACCAAATAAATGGCAACGCAAATCCTAGCTGGATTGTGATACAGCTATTGATAGGCATGCTTAAGGTTTCTAGAACATTTTAGAGGAAAAAAATATTAGGGGGTTAAACTCAACTTTATTTAGAGACAGTAAGTCTGGAACATAAAAGAATTCTTCCAACTAGCAGTTGGAAGCACTACCAGTGTCTCACTCCTCTCCTCAAAGTATTTTCATTTGATTTATTTGAGAAGCCAACTCATTGATTAGTTTTTAAAAAGTGAACTTTGTTCTGTCTTCCATCCCATGCACTACTGTTAAAAGAAGAGCAGCTAATTACCTGTTTCTTTGAAATGCTTTCATTAGCTTTGGTTCCCATGGTAACAGTTCATTAAGCAGTCGTATCAACGTACCATGCAATTCCTTTACTGCTTGCTTCCGGTGGTACCATCTTCCCTGCAAACATAAATACCATTTATTTATCATTGCATTAGACATGAATCTTGTTATACTGCATTAATACTACAATAATCCTGGTACACTAATACGGCATATGAGGAAAATAACTGGAAGAAAATTTTAGTAAGTTTCACAGTTACATCTACCCTTAACCTATGTAAGACACTAATACTTCTACTCTTTTTAGTACTACAGAGAGATAATGTCCTAGTTAAAAAAGCAATACTGCATGGATGTTCACTTTTTACAGGTCAAACTTAAAACTGAAACAGATTCCTGTGAACACACCATGTGTTTAAAATTACTTAAATGAATAACTAACATAGGTAATAATCCATTCAGGTCAGGGAAACCAAACATGTATGTACGCTTTTAACAGTTAGAGATAAAATTTCTACAGAAAGTCTTACCATAATCTCATTTAACATAAGTAATATAATTTATATTATTGTTATTTGCAAAAACAATTTACTACAATTTTCAGGGATAAAAACCACACAGTTTTTGCATCACATTTTTGTATTTTATTCATAGTTCTAGATAAAGTTTTTTTTAAAGAAAAGTTTTGCAAATTGGTAATTTATGAAGTAACAGACTATGCAGTAGAGACAAGTTTTCCAACATAAAAGCTTCAAGCTTTTAACTCAAATGTATAATTAAATACGGTTTTCTTTTCCAAATTGATATATGTAATCTTATGATCTTCCATGAAAAATTCATGGTTTAATAAATCTGGAAAGGCTGATGAGGATAAAAGACATTCGGAAATGACAGCTATTGTGTATATACATATAGACAGCACAACCATGGTAGCCATAACGCTGCAGAACACATGTCTTAATACTCTTAGATACCCCTTATAGGTATTTCTTCCCAAAACTTTATTCTCTAGTTTATTACATAAAAGACTGACCAATGCATGTAACAGCTACAAAAAGAGACCTGGTATACTCTAGTACTTCTGCCACTGTACTAATTCTGTGCATTTTACATCAATGAGGATTTTATCTCTTGACTTGTCAGAGAAGATGTAAGACAGTAAAGAGTCTATGGTTCTGCAAGAAAAAGAAGCAAGACTTGGGAACTTATTTATTTCATATACATATTTAGCTTTTGATAGAGCTCATATCCTTCACAGCTTCCTGTGGTCCAGCACAGCAAGAAATGTAGGGCAGGAAAAGCTGGATAAAGCTTGACATGGGTGCCTTTCGGTAGTCTACAATAATGATTTTCTATGGACTTTAGAAAAATTCCTTTCTATACACGTCAGCAGATTTCTCCAATGTACAGCAAGATCAGTCAGGCTGAATGCTTGTTTGAAGACCAGGTATTTATTTTTTTATGGATAGTCATTTACATGTTACTTAACAAAACAAATAACCACTCCTTCATTCTTCAATTAAAATTACAAAAGCAAAGATTTTAAGTAGGAAATTATGCCACATTACCACATAATGGTGAGTGTTCAGCACACAGACAAGCCAGCAAACTGTATTCTAATTTCCCTGGTTTGTGGCCAGTCATATTTGCACATGCAGTGCCCTGCAGCATAAAACCTGCCACTGAGCACTGCAACAGAAAATAGCCCTTGTGTATACTGTAGCCTACCAAGGCATTTGGTATCACCTCCTAATGTTAGCAGTCAACAGAATTAATTGCTAACATATGAAAGAATATTATGTGCACAGATTTATCTTTCTTGTAAGATATACAAAACGTTTCACAGACAGTTTTAAAAGGATGAATTTAAATACCACACATTATTAGTGGATTGCATCAAAACAAAAATCAAAATGGCAAAAATAAACAATGCCACTACTATCAGGATACAGAAATGCTGTACATGCATTGATATAGGAAAGAATGGGATGTGTGAAAATGTAGTATTAAAAAAAGTATGAAAAATTACATGAAAACATATATGAAAACAACAAGAAATGATTAATTTCTGAGACTCATTTATCTTTAAATAAGGCTAAGATCTTGGCTTAAGTAGAAAAAAAGAGTATTTATGAGCCAGATAAATATCTGCTGACCACTGAGTAAAGTTTGAAATGATAACTGTATCATGCATTGAATAGCCAGACACAAGTAGAAGGCTTAGTCAAGAGCAGACTTCGAGACTTTACTGCCTTCATTAACACTTCAAAGAACAAATAAAAGTCACTTTTCTCCTTGTTTACAAAAATGAACAACAAAATAACCAATCCCCTGTCCCCCCGAATTCTAGAGCTAGTTTTTAACAAAAATAGCATCCTCTGGATATAATCTCTGGAAAACTCCACGTTTGCTTCCAAATATTTTTAATGCAAATATTATAGCAACATAATTTAAAAAGTAAATTAATTATTTCTCTGTATCCCAATTACTCATTTTCTTTACTGGGGTTTAGGAGTTGACAATAAACCTGTCAGTGGAAACATACAGAAATTTAAGCCTTGAGAAGAATTTTCTTTCCTCAGAAACAGTCAGGACACAGAACAAATAGGGGCTAAAAAAGCCAGGGGGTGGTGGCGGCGGGGAGGAAGATCCTTATCTTCAGTTGGTTTTCTGTGCAAACACATAAGATTTCTGCAAAGCCCAGATGTTACACAAATGATCTGCTATTATTCCTTAAATATTAAAATAGTGAAAAGGAAGGGACGTTAAAAAAAAATGTCTATAACCTTAAGACACATCACTACAAACTCTAGCACTACCTTTCCTACGCAACTCCATTCTCTAACACAGTCTTGTGTTTTTTCCGGGCGGGGGGGAGGGGGGAAGCAAGTCAATAATTGATAAAGCTATGACTTAACTCCCTACTTTGGCAATACATAGCTGCCTACTAATTTCTACAGATAATAAACTTGCCTTTATAAATGTCTGTGTTGCAAACTCTTCTCAGTAATACCAAATGATACAATGCACGAGAACAGCTACAAACTGAAGTTTAGGAGGCTCAGGCTAGACCTTAGAAGGTATATTTTAATAAGAAACATACAGCATTAGAACAGGTTGTGCAGAGAAGCTATTGAATTGCCGTTCTTTCCTTCTTGTTTTCAGAACTCGGCTAGTCAGGTCATGGATGACTTAATGCAGCACTGACAGTAGTCCTGCTTCAAGGTGGGGAGACCTTCAAATGTCCCTTTCAACCACTGACTGCAGGGTTCCTTCCAATGAAAGATAAAAGCCTCTGAGTATGACCTGATATGTTATGGGATTAACAAATAAATGGAATGCAACATCCGATGGCACAGAAGGAACTGACCACAGCAGAGTAGCCATGACTGCTCCACTCCAAGTAATCAAAATATAGCTGTTCAGGAAATTCCACAAGGAGTGGTTTAGTGGAATGGCAGGGTTAGTACAAAGGAATAGCTATTACAGCCCCATGGTTCAGTCCTCTTGTCAACAAGGGGTCTGTAGAAACAGAGATCTGGATGCACTGCCTTCTGGTGTTTATGAAATCCAGCAGGATTTTATTAGCAGACATGAACTAAAATTATTCAACTACACCAAGACAGTACTTTAGAAGTAAAAACAGTCCTTCTTTATCAATGAAGAGCTTGCTCTTAATAGATGTGTGAAGAAACTGTTCCCCTTCAATGTACTTGAGCTAATTCTAAGTTTGATAAGAGCCCGCATTCCTAACTGATTATTTAAATAGAAATACCCAGTACCTAACTTGTGTGTGTACTGAGTTACGTTCTTATGTGGTCTGTAATTCACATTCCCAGTACCACTGCTTCTATACGTTGGATCTGACTTCTAGTTACCATATTGTTCCAGGTAGCGACAAACAAACCACTGTTTTCTTCTGGAAACACAATGTAAGGTATTAACAGAACAGAAGAGAGGAAAAAGGCCTAGACAGAGGACAAGTATAAAATGTGACTTTCAGCTGTGTTAAGTTACAAGTAAATTTAAAAAATGCAAAAATAATAAAAATACATTTTAGCAATGTGCTGAACGTTTCCATATAAACACAGAGAGACATTCAACACATTCCCAGCTGAAAACTTACCTTTTAAAATAAGGTTTCTGACATCCAGAGCAGCCAGGAAATGCTGACTCCACTCTCGGTGATGCCCCAACATACACTATTCTGGCATACTCATCATGGAACCCCAAAGCAGACTGGAGCCAGGATATGGATATATGGGGTAAGGACTGAACTTTATAGCGGAGTTTTTGGTTTGTTTTTAAATAAACACGCACACACACAACCACAATATTATGCAGTTTTATAAGATTTTCTTTAATCTTTACTTTATATCCCAGGGACATAAAATAAAGACAATTAGAAATCTTATAAAACCATGCAATATTGTTGAAAAGGGGTGGTGGTGGAGGGAGAAAACTTACCTTACCCTTAATAGGCCTGCTCCATTCTGCAGCGGGGTTCTGTAGTATGTGTGACATCACCAGTCTAGCGTTTTCTAGTGATGTCACACAGAGAGGGAGTTGGTGATCTGCAGCTGCTTTGGACATCAGATACCTAAAGAAAAGAGATCGATAACTTTTTCAATTCAGATATGGATTGATATTGAATGTTCTTATTAACCAATTTATGGGCCAAATACTAGAATTTCAGACACTTACTTCAATGGCAGTTTTGACTGAATAAGAATGCATGATGAGATTATGTATTCATACTATACAAATTCATCTATAATGGAAAGTGTTTTCATTCTGAAAATGGTTAAAAGTTATCTTCTGCAGTAAAACCTCCTGAAAGTCAGTATCTTATATTTTACCTTCAGCAATGTAATTCTGAATATTATAAATATCTATCAACAGCCAACCTGTGATGTTATTTGAAGACTGGGACTGAATATAGTCAGGAAGAATTACTTGTAGTAAATTATAAAACAAATTCGCTCATGACATCTCTTAATCAATTTTATCTTTGAGCATTTACCGGCAACTAATGAAAAGATATCTTGTATCAGCCCTCAAACTTGTTTTTTTTTAAAAAGACTTCAGCTTGCACTTCCATGACCTAGATATCCTAT